GATTCCCACCACCACTCGACTCAGAAGAATTATCTCATCAAAACGTTAATCCATAGGGCTCATTGCATTTCTGACAAACACCACCTGACTAGTGAATTAAAACATGTACATATGGCCCTCAAGATGAACGGCTACTCTGACCGTACCATCCGCCAAGCTGTTTCTCCCACCACACAGAAACAACCACTTGACACTCCGATCAAAATCATCACGTTACCATACATATCAGGCGTTACTAAAAAGATTTCCAAAATTCTAAACAAACACAAGATCCAGGTCCGGTTCAACACAGTGCACAAAATCCGCGATCTGATCCCGTCAGTAAAGGATGTGATATTTGACCTACAGTACACTGGTGTTTACAAATTGAGTTGTACCTTCGGGGACTGTTATATCGGGGAGACGAAACGACATATCTCTGACCGAATCCGTGAGCACAAATCAGATTTTAAACGCGGCAGAACGAATTATTCTGCCGTAGCTGATCATTGTTACAACGCTGTGGGTGATCATGATATCGTCTTCTCCGACACCAACGTGCTCTGCAAACCTACAGGCTATTATCAGAGATTTGTCCACGAGGCCATCCAGATTTACACGGATAGACACAACTTCAACCGATAGGATGGTTTCAAATTGAGTAATCACTGGAAATATGTTTTAAATCAAGTCAAACGTTAGCTGCCTTTCAATTTTTTGTACAGCCATTCCTCAGTGGTTGTATATCATAGTGCCCTTTGATCGCGTTCACAGAGAGCTCACATCGGGGAGCCCTTGGATGTGAGCTCACATCGAGGGGCCCTTTGATGTGAGCCCTTTGATGTGAGCTCACACTGGGGGACCCTTTGGTGTGGGCTCACATCGAGGGGCCCTTTGATGTGAGCCCTTTGATGTGAGCTCGCACTGGGGGACCCTTTGATGTGAGTCCATATCGGGGGGCCCTTTGATGTGAGCTTTCAGAAGTGGGTGTTACCCGCAGCATTCTATGAAAAGGCAGCTTAGCCCAGCCCTCCCACCCACCCACGCCCCTTTACTGTCTCCTCCCCCCTCCCTTTACCTGTATATAATCCAAGGTCGTCTCTGAACCGTGCTCCTGACACAGATATTCTGCGTTGACTTTTCCACCTGAAGACGGAAGCTTGTGTTGCCTCTGAAACGTCGTGATTTAATTGTTTTATTTTCATTTTATTTTATCTACGTGACTTTACCGAATAAACCAAAAAGTATGAATACACACACTGTCGCAAATACACTATAATCACAAATACACTATCGTCACAAATAAACTATAATCACAAATACACACACTATCATCACAAATACACACACTATAATCACAAATACACACAGAAACCCAAAGCACAAACGCACATGTACACAATCACATACACATGCACTCCCCACAGACACTCACTGCCACAAATAAACAAAACAAAGATGCCCCATTTGGCCTCTTAAGAGACTGTGAGCGAGCACCTATTAAGGCCGGCACGGCACACGATAGATACACACAAACCACTCACTCTCACGTGCACATAAAACATTCCCGCTTAAAGTAGCACACTCGAACAATGACACACATGCACTATCACTTCACACACTTCACACTCACAATTAAATGCACGCAAAATAACATTGCTTTAATAACATTAATAACATAAATATACAAATTATTTTAGCCACAGCATAGGCGTTGACGTTACGGTGGCCATGTTGCATGGGGACTTGAAGGAACAAGTGTAGCCATGTTGCATCGGGATTGTTTTCCTTGCAGCTGATTGGCTGGTGTAGCAGGAGTGATGACGTAACCCCTCGCAACCACTGACGCGCGTTTTTGTGAAGTTACACACACAGATATTCTATGTTTTGCACTACACACTTGCAGAGTGCACGCATATCAATGTCTAGCAGGATTTACGCAGTTTTTTCTGTACCCAGCCCACATATCTTAGCACGGTTAGCCTTCATAAAATATTTTTTTCTCATCAATCTTGACACATTCATCATAAGTTTAATGACTCCCTTGCAACATTCATACTACACGCTCGTCATATTAACTGTGCAGCCCAGTTTTTTTGAGTTATATTGATCATGGATGGATCAATATCAAACGAATTTACTTAATTTATATATCCGACTGTCGCATATCCACCCTGACCAATTAACCAGCCACCCCAGTGTAGGCCTCTCTGCATGTTGTTAACAGTCACTTTGTATAGATATTCACAAATGTGAACTTTTCACACAGGTCATGTGTTCACGTACACTCGCTCACTTCTAAAGGGTAGTAAAACATTTCCCCACGTTTATCGCAGTTTGCAATGTGCAGGTTTTGTTGTCGACTAACATATTTGTGCATGGTATAACTATAAATCGTGTTGGTATATATATATTTAGCTGTTCAGATATCGGACCTTTTCACATTTCCGCCGATACCCCAGTCACCAGCAAGTGGAATACGCGGCGTTGTACCGTACTGCCGCCTACAGCCACTTCTGTAGAGGTGGGAGGCTTTGTTCACCTGATCATCGGTGTCCCGCCATCGCTACCTCCAGGTTGCCAGATGACAGGGGATGTGCCAGCATACCCGGCCATCATGGGAGGATTATCCCATGGAGGCTTGGAACCTCAGTCACGTGAAGCATTGATCTGGGGCTCATGACTGTAGATCCAGTTTGGGTTGCCACCTGTCAGGGTTTGCCCTGGGCAAGTCCGGCAATCGGCGTCTGTGCTCGGGTTACAGGAATGGTGTTTCAACCAAGTTCTGGTACCGGCATCGCTGTATTATGCAGAGGGGGCACAGTGTTGATGAAATACCGAGAAATGAAACGTGGCGATTCTACTGGATAACGTGTTCACCATTCAGGCACCGGTAACGAACTTAATTGCTTCGTGCTTCGTGGCAACTGGGGTGGACTGCCCTGATTTATATCAGTGTTCTGATTTACATCACTGGTCTGATTTATGTCACTGCTATGATGTCTATCACTGCTCTGATTTCTATAACTACTATGATTTATATCACTGTTCTGATTTACATCACTGCTCTGATTCATATCACTGCTCTGATTCATATCACTGCTATTATTTACATCACTTTCTGTGATTTCTATCACTACTATGATTTCTATCACTGCTCTGATTTATATCACTGCTATGATTAATATTACTGACATTATTTATATCACTGCAATGATTTCTATCACTGCTCTGATTTATATCACTACTATGATTTATATCACTGCTCTGAATTATATCACTGCTATGATTTCTATTACTGCAATTATTATATCACTGTTATGCCATTACATTACACATTTTCAACACAAGGGGAAGGATTCGTTTAACTCAGAATTTAAACCAAATGTGGTATTTCAAATGTGGTATTTCCTTTAATAACGCATGCATGAGAAAATTACATTGATCAGAAATACAGCATTCGTTTCAGGTTACCATTGTAAAACATTTGATGAAGATGTTTATTCCAGGTTAAAACAAAATGTCAACAGTGCGATTGGAAAAATAAAATCACGACATTTCACGGGCGAGTTTGTTTGCATTCTCAGCAGACAGAGCCAACTCAGCGGCTCAGCAAGATATTTCAAAACACATTCATTAATCCACACGCGGGAGCAACCGATGAAGCGACATTCCATTCGAAGACCTGACAAAGTGAGTCCAAACTACGAGGGGACGCATCGAATAGCACAAGAGACAGATTGAACTGCCACAGAATAATATGGGCTAAGGCATTAGCTTAGAGAGAGAGGACTTATGTTACCAAGGCTACCAATGAACGATGATTGTGAAAGGCTAAAACATGTGCAATGACAATGGATCCTGCATGCATTGTGAGGGGACTGGTGGCCACGGGAGGTGGTGAAAGGGGTGTCAGTTGTGAGTACGAAGGGACTGGTGGCTACGGGAATGTTCGAGAAGGGAGCGTGGTCAGGTGACGGAAGAGGACGGCAGAGTCTTCCGGTAGAGCGAGGGTCCAGAGTCAGCAAGAATGATCGAGAAGGGGGGCGTGGCCTCGTGTTGGTATATAAGGGAGATGTGCGAGACACTCGGGGCTATTACAGTGTGGTCTTCGCCTGATGTCAAGTGAACATGTATTCAACAAAGTGCCATCTCAAGAGAAGTGTGTCAAGTCGTCACATGTATAAACTAGGTATCTCAGATTCGAACTCCTTGAGTCCTGCGGTAGGGAGGAACAGTGGAGGAAGTTCTATGATCGCATGCCAAGATGACACCGGTCCGTCGCTACGCCTCGAGCTTGCATAGGACGCTGTGTGCTTGCTACGTGCCTGCAGTTGTGCTGCGCTTTGCGCTGTGTTAGGCAGGGCCACAGCCGCACTGTGGAAGTTTGGGGAGTCTCACGAGCGAGTGGTTCCCCGCGATTCTGGGATACATCGCCGATAGCAACCGCGACGTTCGCCCCAAGATTACGTCACGGTCACAACTGGATCCACTAAACCATAATTACATTTTCCGATTTAAAGCTTTCGTGGCTGCAGGGATTCATCTTCTTGGTTCTTTCGGTAAAGTCAAGTAGAATGGGGATGAAATAATAATAAAAATTCTCACGACGTTTCGGAGGCAACGCAAGCTTCCGTCTTCAGGTGGGACAGTCACAGCAAGATCGCTGCATCAAGTGGGGAGGCTCTGAGAGCCTCGAGCTTATATACAGGTTAAAGGGGGGGTGGGGGGAAGGACGGCAGGGCCAAGTGGGGGACATTTATGGGGTGTGGGGCTAAGTTAATCATGCAATTAATGATCAGAATAATAAGGTTTCATACTCGTTGGTTCTTTCGGTAAAGTCACGTAGTTAGAAATAAAATAAAACAAATCACGACGTTTCAATCGCAACACAAGTGGTCGAAACGTCGTGATGTGTTTTATTTTTTATTTAATTTCTAACTACGTGACTTTACCGAAAGAACCAATGAGTATGGATTCCTGCAGTCACGAAAGCTTCAAATCAAGATCATAACGTTTGTTTGTACTGGAGGAATCCGATGAGCTTTAAAGTTGTTTATCACAGATGTCCAGTAGAGGCTCGCGGAGCCAGACTAAGGCACCGACCTCTAGGTAATAGAACATTTAAATAAATAAAAGCAGCTCCTCCAAAAGGATAAGTGCAATATATACAGTATATTTATCTCGATATGCGCCACGATGAATAATGATCAGAATATGTATTTACACTGGAGGAATCCGATGAGCTATAAAGCTATTTTTCACACATGTCCAGTAGGGGGGGGGGTAAGAACGTTACAACAAATAATACAAAAACATAACAGTCGTTAAAAGTACAAGAAATGTAAAAAAAAATCACCCAAACACATACAAATTAAACGAAACCATCCCCATCCTACCAGGCAAAGCCCCCACTGAGGTATTAACTTATTGTTCAGAAGCAACCTGGCCACAAATGATCGCTCAACAAAGTGGCCCGTCATTTGGACATTCATAGCAACTACTGCCTCTCACTGCCTGCTATCCGTGCAGTACCGCGCATTTAAAGGGACCACCATCAGCACAATCAGCATTTCTGTCACCTGCACGACTGGAGAAAAGCGCAGCTCGAAAAAAAAACGCCGGGAATTTTGCACCCAAACTTTTTCGGGTGCCTCTTAGCCGCGAGGACCCGGCATGAGGACGTGTAACAGCTTGAATGTGAGACTTTTTGTCGCTCGCAAGTGAATGACTCCTCACTTCACTATCGCCCACACTCTGTGAGGCCTCGAATCGCGAAGGCGCCTCGGGAACATTTTCCGAAGCAAAGTCGCCGCCTCCTTCCTGAGCGCTCGCGTTCTGAAGAAGTAAATGCCGACGTTCGCGATCGGGATGAAGAAGGTCGCGAACTGCGACGCGCAGCGGATGTTCCTCGCGCGTGCGTTCGGCTCGTTCCTCACCAACCTGGGGACGAGAATGGAGATGAAGAGCGTGCTGAAGAAGACCGTGAGCAAGAAGGAGTGCGTGAGCAGCGTGTGCGTCGCCTTCCTCCTGAAGCCGCTCGCCTGCGTCCTCTTGCACTCCAGAAGGATCTTGCAGTACGTGACGCTGATGACGCACAGCGGCAACACGAAGAGCAGCGCGACCATGCCCGAGCTGAACGTTTCTGGGACGCTCGTGTCGTCGGCGGAGAGACGCATGAATCCCATGTAGTCGCAGAAAATGCCCGGCATTTGCCGATCGTCGTCCTTCAGCGTGAGTGGCGCCACTAGGATCGTGAGCGGCACGAGCAGCGCCGCCGTGAAGCTCCACGCGGTCACCACGGCGAGCAGGGTCCGTTTGGCGGTCACGATGGCGTGGTAGTGCAGCGGGTGGCAGATGGCCACGTAGCGGTCGACGGACATGACCGTGAGCGTGACGCACTCGGTGCAAATGAACACGTTCATCAATAACATCTGCGCGACACAGGACGCGCGCGACACCTCGTTGTCGCCCGTGAGGAAGATATGCAGTTGCTTGGGCAAAATGACCGTGCAGCCGATGAGGTCGCCCAAAATGAGGTTGCACATGAACGCGTACATGGGCTTGTGCAGCTCCCTCTGCACGGCCACTGTGCCGAGCACCAACAGGTTGGACAGCGCCGTGACGACGAAGAGCGGCAGGCACAGGCCGAACGCGAGCAGCTGCACGCCGTACGGGGCTTCGAGTGTCCCGAGGAGGATGAACGATTTGTTGCCTTCCATGGTCGCCTTCAGCTGTGGGGAACAAACAGAGGCACGCATTGCAGCTCGCGCTCGTCGTGACTGCGCACTAGATTGCGATGTGTGAGACAAGGGCTCACATTTCGTTTTTAAAAGAATATAACCCATCCTCTTATGTGCACTGCACTCAACACTAATGCAAGACGTGCGAACAACCACGTCAGATATATCTCGAGTGAAATTGGGCAGAGTGAATACATACAGATAAGCATCATCTGCGCACAGCCTGTGATGCACACTGCCTGCCGAGACGGATACAGCAGCCTGTGTTAAATCCAACCTGTTGTGCATTGCATGACCTTGTCACAAAACAAAATATAAAGATGCCCCCCTATACTGTTGGGGCAAGTGCTGTTAGCGCGCACTGCACACGAGGTGGTGGGTGGCCAGCACCACGCCCGGCCGCCTTTGTCTCCCTTGTGGCAATGTTTATACACCGCATCAAGTAGTAATTTGAGGCTGAGTCGACCTAGGGCAGGCCCAGAACAGATTCTGATAATCGTCACTGGCGTTGTTGGCCGTAAACGAGAATCGAACTCGGGTCGCTGAGTTCGAAGCGCAGCACGCTAACTTGTGCACCACCGTTCCAGGTCACACACGCACACTGGAAATGCTGTTTTGCATGAGTGTATGCACTGGCTCTCCTAGCAATGCAGTGCTCACTGTATTCACTAATTATACGTTTTGTTAGGCAGTGTCAATGTACAGAGATGGGTAAACATGTTTTATTTAGAAATGAAAGCTTTATTGGTTGGAGACACGTTAAAATTTTACGTCTCATTTAACACCTTCCATCCCCACCAGATTCCACTTGACTTACATGTGTACTGACACCCATAATGAAAGACTAAAAGTCAACGTTGCATTGCTTTTGAATGTCCTTCCCAGCACAATCGTAGGGTTTGTTTTTTTGAGGTTGTGAGCAAGCTGGCCAGGACTGGGCGAGTTCTTCGAGACTCAGCACCGCCAATACTTAGCCAAGCAACAGAGGACACTTCTCTCAGATATTATTTATTGACATCACTAAAACAACACTTGCAACACATTTAAGAATGCACAATTAAATACTGCATATACAGTACGTATAAAACTAAGGCTTGAAAAAAAAACGATTAAACTTAAAATACTGTGCCTCGTATTTTACCAGCAGCATGATTTTACTCAAAGGTTCATCTGGCCTCAATGTGGCTCTCAACGGGCAATATAAAGGTGACTATGGCACAGATATTGACACCTTACCTGCTTGCGAGGGTTTTTCGCTGTGGTGGGTTCTGCGAGGGCTGCATATTTATACACCTCCGAGCATCACGTGATCACCCCATCTAACGGCTTGCCGCTCAAGGAATTCTTAATTGACCCCGCCGCATTAAGGTATTTAATTTCCCCTAACAGCTCCCCCACACGTAACATGTTTTTTGGTGAAGGACAATTTAATTGCTTCACTCAGACTTGTGCTAAGCATCCCTTGAGGTAGCCGGTTGGCGTCAGTGCACTCACCCTGAATGCCACCGACTCTGTATACACGTCACGTAGTGGGGAGCGATGTTCCTGTGATTAGTGCACTACGCTACGAACCCGGCGGGCCCGAGTTCAACTCCCGTCCACGACCAAAAACAGTGGCGAATATTCGTAACCGGTCCTGTGCCTCCGCTGGGTCGATTGAGCCTGAAACGAGGACCTGGTGTGTAAATATCAACACTGCGGAGACAAAGGTGGCTGGGCGTGGTGTTTTACACCCACACTCTCGTGCGCCGTGGCTACGTGGGCTGACATCCGCTCAGAGGAATGTAGTTGTGCAGTCCTGTACAACAGAATGCCACGGTGGCGGGATGTTAACCACCTCGCTTGGTATGAAGGGGGTCGGGGGGGGGGGAAATGAGGACTCAAAACAATGCCATGATTTTTGTCCAATTTTCTGTGGGTGTCTCTCCGCCCTATCTCTAACCATATATAGTGGGTTTCTGAACATCCGTTGCCCCCACGGTGGCTGCACCCTCGCTGTCTACACTAAACCCCTTGTCGTGACCTCTGTGAGCGGCCGCGGTGGCGAGATGTTAACTACCTCGTCTGGTATACAGGAGATTGTGGGTTTGATCCCGACCCTGACGCCTGTTTATTTGGAGTTAAGATGTCCTTCTCGTGTTCGTGTGGAATTTTTCCGCGGGTCCTCCGGTCTGTCCCTCCACATTTGGCTGCTACAAATGTCCACGCGATAACAATCCACTTCACTGAGCTATCATCTGTGGCCAGGTCGCTTCAGAAAAAGAGTTACACAACTCAGTGGGCCTTACTTGGTAATAACAGCATTCGTGAAATTAAACGACGACGACGATGAGGAGCACAGATGAGAGAAGCCCTGCTGTACGTGCAGGAGGTGCAGATGTGGCTGCGCCACAAGGCGGGAGTGGGGTCCGAGCTGCAGCACACACGTAGCACCCCTTCATTTTCCTCCTGGTACACCTGCACGCACGCGCGTATCAGATAGCCCGATTTGTGTCGGTGGGGATTGTGCCACGGACACCAACACGCCGGTGGAATTCTCCTCGGGCTGTCCCTAGCTTGGGACGCATTTGTGGAATGGACTCGTGCCCCCCGGGCCATCCACTATCGCCCCTTTATCGCTGGCCCATCTTCGTGGCACGGGAACTTTTCCACTGGTCATTTGCCGATCCGAGCCAGAACCAAACCGTTATACACTGGCCTCACAAAACATTACAATTTGTCTCGGGGCCAAGCAGGGCCAAGGGTGGGGCTAACGGTGCTTTCATTTTCATGTGACGTCTGCAGGATGACTCGGCGTCTGCTATGGGAAGGACAAAAATACAATGATAATATAATTAATTTGGGGCCTCTTGAGCCATGCTGGGCTGGCTCGGCACGGCCCTGGCAGCTCGGTTGCACCGTGGATAAGGGGTAAACGTGAGTTAGGCTCGCACCAGGGGTCGGCAACCAAAATAACAAGAAGAGGCATTGTTTTTTAGAATTCGGCAAAATAAACCAACTAAATATTTCAAGAGCCTCCGTAATGCGTTGTGGTGAATACGAGACGGTGGTGGTTCTTAATAAATAACTGTCACGTAGCATAAGTCCTTTAAAAGAGCTGCATGCTGCTCCGAAGCCACAGGTTTCCGACCCTGGCCCACGGTAAACTGGACTTCCATTGCAAACTGGGCTTCCATGGTGTACTGGACTCCCATGGTGAACTGCACTCCCATGGGAAACTAGAACTTAAACCGGTCTTCCATGGTAAACTGGTCTCCCATGTAAACTGGACTCCCATGGTAAACTAGACTCCTACGTTAAACTAAACTTCCATGGTAAACTGGACTCCCATGTAAACTGGACTCCCATGGTAAACTGGACTCCCATGGTAAACTAGATTTCCATGGTAAACTGGATTCCCATGTAAACTGGACTCCAATGGTAAACTGGACTTCCATGGTAAACTAAACTCCCATGGTAAACTGGATTTCCATGGTAAACTGGACTCCCATGTAAGCTAGACTCCCATGGTAAACTGGTCTCCCATGGTAAACTAGACTTCCATGATAAACTGGACTCCCATGGTAAACTGGACTTCCATGATAAACTGGACTCCCATGGTAAACTGAACTCCCATGATAAAAGGCCGGCAACCAAAATAACAAGAATAATCATATTTTTTTCGAATTCGGAAAAACCCCTCAATATTTCAAGAGCAGCAATGCAGTCCTTAAAGAGCCGCACACTGCTGACCCCTGGGCGAGCAAAAAGGTCGTCATCGCGGAACCTTCCACAACACCGGAATCTGTTTGGTTACGCGAATTGCACCCCTGATATTCGTTTTACTCCGCCCACACATCCCAGCCTCTGCATTATAAATACGCATCACCGCCACCGTGCAAGCCGCTTTGATCATTCCACCCTTAAGAACCCAGACCCTTGATACAGTAAGAGGAGTTCTGAACTACTGAACGATTTCCACCGTTAATAACCACCCTGTAATAAGCCAAACGTTTATTGGAAATGTTATATTTGTTAGTTTATCCAAAAAAAACTTTGTAAATTATTTTGACATTTTTCAGAGAAAAACGACAAGAATGTGTGTCAGTAAACAAATATACGACATCGATTTTGCGGAACAGCTGACAGTGGCAGTCATAAACTAAACTAAAAGTATTTATTTTTTTATTTTACGAAGTATGGGCCATTGAGCTATTAAGCTCTTCTTCAGAAGCGACCTGGCCAATGAAGTGGCTTGTCATGTGGAAATTCATCGCAGCCATATACCCTAAGGGGCCGTCCATAAATGACGTCATGCGATTATGGACCATTTTGACCCCCCCCCCCTCGTCACACATCGTCACAAATGTCTGACCCCCCCCCCCCCCGGTGCTTGACGTCATTTATGGACAGCCCCTAAACGCATGTTGATTCTCAATGTGGAGCGAAAAACCGGAGGACCCGGAGAAAAATCCACGCAACCATGGAGAGAAAATGCAAATTCCGCATATAATGGCGTCAGGCTCGGGATCAAACCCACGATTTCCTGTATATCATGCGAGGTAGTTAGTTAACATCTCCCCTCCGCGGCCACTCACGGGGTCAAGATAAAGGGGATTAGTGCAGCCACTCTGGGTGCCACGGGTGTTCGGAAACCCCTAATAGGATTAGAGATATGTCGAAGAGACATCCACAGAAACTTGGACGAAAATAATGTTTTTGTTTGAAGTCCTAATCCTCCCCCCCCCCCCTTCAAATGGTACGTACGTATATATGTTGAACTTCTGTCGCATCGTACGCATCCAATCTTGCAATTAAGAGGTGCGTCGCGAAACGCGTTAAAATGCGGATCATCCTGATGGATGGAAACCTTCAACTGCACAGTAGAGCACCAACAACGGATAGGCTCAGCGTCAGAACGCAGTCGTTGCGTCGAATGAATTTAATTATGACTCCATAGAACTTCAGTTGTCCGTGACGTAGTGGAGGGTGAACCTCGCGTATGCTGTCTGTACTCGAAACCAAACAGCACAGGGAAACACACAGCAACAACAACCTCCATTCTCCACTAAGTGGCGGTGACGTCACCATGGCGCTCGTGCCAGGCTACGTGCACGTTGAGGCCACTTGAAGTGTCGAACGCCCGCTGGCAGGAGGTCACGGGGCAGACCCAGGTGCACCCCCTGCTGTACCAACATGCTGTGTTTTATCCACCCGGCGCTCTCCTCGTTGTTGTGAAACAGACGCTTACGAGGACGGCCCCAACTCCACACGGTTGTGTCCAATACAAAAACAACATGACGCTACTTTCCATTCGGATTACCTGCGCGTGTTGTATTCACACTTCGGAGACGAATATTTAACACAAGCGCTTGGGGTAGTGGGGGTGGGGGGAGTCATCAGG